CAGAGCCCAGTGGCACTGCCAGCACCAGGCCTAAAGCCTGGGAGGGTTTCCCATGGAAACCAAGGGGCCTCGTTTGGTATTTCGGAGGTTGGCATGACATAACATAAATCTACATTCTGTACTTAAACAGCATTTTATTTTAGGAATAATTTCGTGTTGGCTGACCTTCAATGTGGAGAACATTTTATGTTATTTTTTATTACTTACAGAGAGATTCCAAAAGCCTGATCCACACTTAGTCCCACCAGGTGTATCTTCATCCTGGGGCTCTTGGGACCTGTCCTATGTCAGTTCAGTTCCAAAGTTTTATTTTCCTTTGCAGGATCTGTGGGAGCAGGCTCTGAACTGGGCAGTGGATCCTGCCCTGGTCTCCCCAGGGATGGTGCAGCAGCCTGGGGAAGTGCCCTGCTTAAGTGCCTGGTCAGTTTTCCCTCTGGGAATGTCTGGGAGAGAACTGGGAAGTCTGCTCTGATATCTCAATTTACAGGAGTGACACTAAACCTCTCCTTGCACAATCCATCATTTGGTATTCACGTTTTAAACAAAGGTATTGACATAAAATTGGTCCCTCCATTGTTTAAAGGAGGGAGTTTAAATGAGTGTTACCTTAGTTCTGCAGGGCTCTAGCCTTTAAATATAAAGAATCTCTTTTACTCCTCATTTATCAGCAATGAATATTTAATGTAGTCCTGCTGCCTAAGGAAGAATTTGTATAAAAGGGATGAAAAGAAACATTTATTTTAAAAAACCAAGATATTTACTCTTCGAAGCTGAGTCACTGAATTTATGGCCCAAGAAGTTGTCTCAAAGACACAAATGTATTTAGTTTATTTTTTATGGTGAATCACAAACAATTTTGAGTGGCAGGGTGACTGTTTGCACAGGCAGGGGGCTTTTATAAATGTGCAGCCAGGATGTTCTGCAGCTCCATTGGTGTCTGGAAAGAATATCCAATACAGGAATAACCCAAATTTCCACCACAGTTGTCTCTGACCCCAGTTGTGCATGCCCAGGTGCTGAAGGCAGCACAGCTCAGTGCCCCAGACCTGACTGGGGGTAACTCAGTGCTGAGAATTCAATGCTGCTCAGTGCTTGTGTTGTCAAGGCTGCAATTCCAACCCACACTGGATTCAGAGATTTCCTTGGGATTTTTGCTTGAAAAACGCTCTGGAAGCATTGATATAATTTCTTTTCATTTTTCCAAGCAATCTGCCTGCTTTCAGCACCACAGCTGCTCCCAGGCACAGCTGCCACCTGATGGAGTAACTCTGGGCTGGAATATCAAACGGGGAGCTGTGGAATAAATTGAAATGCCAGACTGGAAGAAGAATAATTTTGCCTGGGAAACTCAAGGAATTGCTAAGAATACCAAGGAAACTCTGCTAGATCTAAGCAGATTTGTTCAGACCTGGGGCTGTGGTGCTGCAGAAATAACATTTACCAGCTTGGCAGATGTTTTGTGCTTGGATCCACAGAAATCAGAGCTGCTTTGCCAACACCCTCCTGCAGAGCCATGGAGTTACTGGGGGGAACAGGGAGCAGAGAAACAGAAACAGAAACAGCCAGGATGCAGATGTGAGGCTGTGATTTGGGTCACTGGGGCAAACAGGAGCTGTGGGAAGGAGGAGCTGAGGGAGAAGCCTGTCCTGGCAGGAAGGGCAGCTGGACAGCCCAGGGACCAGGGGAGAGCTTGGAAAACATCAGCACCTTTTGGATTCTGCAGTTGGCCTATCCCAGGAATTGATTTCATACCACTGGGAGCTCTCTAAAGGGTTTTTAAAAGCATTTCACTAAATTTTGTGTCTTCAAGACACAAAGCAAGAGATTCCTGCTATGAGGAGTGCAGCTCACTTAGGAATTCTTTCCCCTGTGCTGCAGTTGAGAGCAGCTGCACTGTGCATGTCAGGAACTGACTTTTCCCACCTGTCCTAGTGAGCAATGCTTGAATCATGCCTGACATCCTCAATTGGCTCTGCACTGATACATAGAGATAAAAATACAGGGGTTGGACAGTGCTGCATCATAAATTTAAAAAGAAAAACCAGGGGACAAGGGATAAACCCAGCGAATTCCTAGGCAGCAAAACCAAGGGAAAACACCACTGTGGAAATGCATTTGGATCCTGTGTGGGGTGATGTGGATTCCCTCTGTCCTTTTTTTCCTGACAGAGGGTTTCTGACAGGAAAACAGGA